TTGTGGTTCTAGCTACTTTAAATCACCAGTTTAAAGAACGCAAAACTTTAAAGAATCAAAACAACAGAAAGCAATATTTTATGGATTCCAGTCCTGGTTCTACTCTTATACTAACTATAATTTTAATATAAGAACTAGTTAGCTAATTTGAGCAAGTTCAAAAAATTAACTAAATTATTGATTTCTAATAAAAAGTTGACTAAAAAAAAATTATTGTGATAAATAGGTATTGTCTTTCCTAAAATACCCATGCTAATCATATGTATTAATTAAAATTATCATTTAATAAAAAATTTTAACATGCACAACTACTATAAGAACTATTCTGAAAAAAAATGAATACATATAAAGGTAAAATGAATTGGAGTCTTATATTTAAGATCAAATTGAATATCAAACCAATTTTTACATTAAACGTCGAGATAGTATTTCATTTTTTGAAGTATTATTATTTTATGCAAATATTTAAAACATACAAATATTAATATCTGATACTACTATTTTGTGGGGGCAGACGTGGACAGCAGTAGGATTGGCGTAGGCTGCAAGCGTTGTCCACAACTACATGCTCAAATTGTTCTCCACATTATTTACACATGCATTGAGACAATAAATAGACAATACATTAAAAAAAGGTTAATACTTTAAATTTGATAATGTTTTACACACACAGAGAGAGAGAGAGAGAGAGAGAGAGTAATTTCCAAATAAAAGTGGTATTTTAGAAGATGCCAAACGAAATGTTGTTTGACTATGTAGTTTTTCTTCTTTCCTTTTTTTGCCGCCAAATTTAAGTTCATCGTCGTCATATGAATTTCACATTCATTATGTGTTTTTTAAAAAATGATACTCCTCCGATCTTAATATAGGACCTAATTATTGAGTTGGTTTTGATCCTAAATATAAGACCCATTTCTCATATTTATCAGTTTTTTCTTAATTACCCCTATGGGTACTCTCTCAACCATAATCAAGTAGAGAGAGAGAGAGAAGAGGTATTAAGAAAGATGATTATGGTGTTTTAGGAAAAACGTGTCACATTTCTTATAATTAACTAACTTACCTAACTTTTTTAATCTAATCAAATTAGTTAAATGGATCTTATATTAAGGATAGTGAATGAGTACTATAAAATAAACAGATAATATCATGCGCAACTGTGAAATATTATACCGAAAGATAATTCATTCTCAAATCACTTCTCACAGCACATGAATTTCTTAGCTGAAGAAGCGGTCGGTCCATAGATTGCACACTAAATTTTCTGCGTCAGAAAACACATCAGAGTCTCGTACATTCAAAGTGCAAAAATTCAGTGGATGGACGTGATATTACCTCCGTGTTATAAATACAATAGACGATTGGATAACGTAGGGGTATGAGGGCCCAGCGAATCCGCGTGGCAGGTGATTTTATTGGGGGCCATGATTTCAGATAGACGTTTTTTGAACGCTTATTACCGTTGGCGAGTAGCCGAGGGTCCCACATTTGAATCTGGATGCACAATTTGAAACTGGACGGCACGCTCGGACACATCCCACAGAACTCATTTGATTTGATTTCCGCTCTGTCCGATTGAAAAAGGGGCAGCTCTTCAAATTTTAATTTCATTTCCCAGCCAAGTCAAGTATCGGCCAAAAATAAAGGGAAAAGAATTCTCAGCCAAATAATAACCAAATTACTTATTTCCCGTTGCGCTTAAATGTTGTTTGAGAAATTACACAGACCTGCTCCTCCTTTTTTCCCAACTATATTGAACTCTCCTGTGTGTGTATAAAATACATCCTCTTATTCTAAATATGGTAGTTTTTAATATAAATTTTTTTAAAACCAAATCGACACACATTTTTTAAAAAAAAAATTCAAAAATAATCAACTTTCATCCAAGATTAAAAGGAATATACGTCTATGTTTATGGGGAAAAAAAGGGGATTTTGTTTAGTAAGAGAGTAAGAGTAGGGCCGTGAGTTTTCAAGTTTCTACGCGAATTGGTTCCTACTTCTGCCTAGATAATAGTAAATAAAATATTTTAGTGAGCAAAACGCATTACTAGTGTATTGAGGTTAATTAAAAAAGTAAATATTCTTAATACGACAAGCAATTCCATGATTTGATTAGAACGGGAAAAAAAGGTAAAATTAAGGATGTACTGCGACGATGGAAAATATTTTAAAATAAAAAACCAAGACATCCTTTATAGTACATTTGAAAAAGAAAGGAGGGGTGGTTTTGGAAGTCTATGTATTACTTCTATATATAGAGTCCATCCTCCACACCACGGGGTCAGAGACAAACACAGTGACATAAACCGAGGGAGGAAGAAGAGAAACAGAGGGAGCGAGTGCAGTGGGATTGCGAATCATGGGAGAGGTTGTTATGTTTATTGACGATTTGAAATCAATTTCTGGGATTTCTCGATGCAGAATATGTCACGAAGAAGAATTTGAGAGCTCAAAAAGCTTTGAAGCTCCCTGTGCTTGTTCTGGGACCGTCAAGGTGACCTCAGAGATAACTCTAGCCCTCTTTTCTTGGTCTCTTTCTCTCTCTTGTTTTCTGAAAATTAATAACTCTGTTTCCTTGGTCAGTTTGCTCACAGAGATTGCATACAGAGATGGTGCAATGAGAAAGGGAATACAATCTGTGAAATATGTCTCCAGGTATGAATGTTGATCATTACTTTAGTTTGTAATCTGCAGTTCTTTTCTCTTCTCTTGATTCAATAAATTCGAATGGTAATTTGATAAATTTCTTACTAAACAAATTAATGAATTATCTTGTCGAGGAAAGGGAAAGAAGTTGGTTGTGTGAATCAATTAATTTTGGTGTCGTTATACAAATTTGGGTCGGCTGTCCATTCTGATAGTGACTTTTAGGAACACTGATAATTTCCTTTCTTCCTCTTCCTCGGCTCTTTTTTCTCCTTCCCTTTTTCCTTTTTTCTTGGCCTTTTGCTTTCTTTGCTTAATATTGAAGTCTATCTCACCCTATGCTGAATTAATGTTTTGTCATCATGAATATTTGTCGAGAAATGTGATTGTAATGGTACACAATCATTGAATGAGCAGAATGCTCTTCCAACAGCTTGAGACACTGTTCTTTCTAAAAGGCTTCTGCTACACCTGACTTATATCTGTTTGGCTCTTTACTGGCAGCAATACGAACCTGGTTACACGGTTCCTCCCAAGAAATTGCGGATAAATGATGAAGCAATGACCATTCGGTACGTTTCTTCCTGATATGTCTAATTTTGCTAATGCTTTTCATTTGCTTTATTACAGCTCCTCCCAATTTCCGTGTACAGTTCGCTCAAAATTGAACAAATGTGCCTTACAACTAATAATTCAATGCAATCATTTCAACCGTCCTTGAATGTGGACCCGTTCCACTGTTATTTATTTGATAATTAATTAATAATTTTGAGAAAAGTTGACAGCATTATAATGCGAAGTGTGAACCCTTGACTAGTGACTGCATTATTACAGAGAAAGCCTGCAAATTTCAAGAATGGAAGAAGAAGCGCTAAATGCAAGACTAGAGGCAATAGTTGAAAGAGTGGCAATAGAAAGTGAGTACTCCGAATGCACGTCTGCCGCAGATCGAAGTGCATCTTACTGTCGATTCCTGGCCTTGGCGGTAGGCATCTTTTATTCTTAATTAATCACATTCATCCAGTTACGTTGTCATTATTATTGTACTCTTGGGTTGCGAAATGAAAGAATCAGATGGCTCCAACAGCTATGTACAAAGGATTTGTTGAATCGGGAGAATATTTTCCCCATACTTCGTGAGTCAAGCATTATAAATCGAGTCGACAGGGTAGCTCAGTTTTGCGACTGTGTAATAGCTCTTCCGGTATGAATGCACATTACCCGAGGACCCGACTAAAATTTACGTCTCTGTTTCTCTTGTTGGCAGTTTACACTTTTTATGCTCGTGAGACATCTTCTCGCTGTGCTTACGAGTGGAACAGAAGATTACCCATTTACACTGCTGACCGTAAGCATTTCACTTCCAAAATGGCAGCGGCAGCGGTTATTATGGAAGAATAAGCTCTTCGAATAATGGAGTTCTGTGGTGGTCATTATTTTTGCAGGTTTTAATGCTGAGGGCTGGCGGAATTGTACTGCCCATGTTCATAATTATTAGAATGATTGGAGCGATCCAAAACATAATTCAGCGCCACTATCAGGTTCATTAGATTTTACGTTGTTATCACAGTTACTGTTAGATTGTCTGATTGACATGAAATCTCAGCTGATAGCGCGATGGTTATTGTACACATTCAGGATTCTGAAGACGGAGCAGCAATATCTGATGGGTACGACAACGAAAACGGGCCACTGCGTGATGTGATTTTTAGACACACATAGGCAGCCGACTTTGCTTTCACTTGTTTCACAGCATCACGCTGATGCTCTTGATGAGTTCCAACACCTATGGGACATTAATTTTACGGCAAAAAGTAATGCAATTCATAAGTTAAATTCGAGATATTTTCATTGTCTCCACTGCCACCCACCCACCAAGAACTGAATCTTTACAGATAATGGCCAGTACAATCAACAACCGAATTCACCAACAATGTTCACTTCTGGCACCAGTCAAAAAGATAGCCAGCCAAACGCGTATAAAAAAGCACTGCAGTAGCATCAATTGAGCTTGGATCAATTCACTGACTACAATTATTCACAGGGAACCAAACTATTTCGGATAAAGCAGAGATGTCAGACAACTGAACATAGAGCAAGCATGACTCGACCATGATATTACGATTGATATAACATAATCATGGCTATAAACAATGGTTGGCTATCGAAGAATGAACTATAACTTGATGATAAAACCAACAAATGTCTTGGAATGGTTTAACATTGCAGTAGTGCTCTTGCTTTATTATGAAGTTCACTGAGGGAATTATCCAAAAAGTTTTCCTGGAAACTCAAATTTGTAGTGGCACTGATCAATTTTTGAATGATGCCATCTCATCAACCCAGCTTTGATTAGATGCGTTGTTTTTGGAGACACCTTCTGCGGTTACCATAAGCAGCCTCGAATTCTCTAGACTTAGCAGCAGCCTTTTGAAGAACAGAAGTTGGAAGTCCTGAAATAAAGTAGATTGCTTTTTTTCAGAATAAGAAATAATTGATGACGGAGTGATGAAAGCAAAGGGAGTAATTTTGGAAAGAACAAAATGATGTAAAAATTTACTTATCAAGGAACAGAAAAAGAATGAGCTGAAACGAGAATATGTCATCTAAATTATTCTCAAATTGAATGGCTAAAACAGTCATAACATTCTAAAATCTAAATCGCATAACTTTCTACCTAACAGTGCCACCTCATTAACAATTAACTAATGATGAATATTTTCTCTTCAGTTGGTTTCACTTCTAATACTGTTCTCAAAGACCCGAGAGTTTCCAGATGTGACAGACATTATCACCACTAGAACGTCAACCTCAAGTTTAGGCTCCATTTCTGAGTGAAGAATGACGTACGTATATACTAAGGTCCATCTGTTCTATGCTAAACGGATACATACCAAAGCAAAATCCCCATAAATAAATACGGGTGCCACATCACCTCACGCTAACCAGTCTCATATACATGGGCATTACACCGACACATGCTAACTAAGTAATTAGCAATCTCAAAGCCGCCAACAGTGAATCAGAAGAAGAAATATGGCTATACCAGCTAACCGAGCAACATTAACACCATAGCTCTTGGGGCATGCACCAGGCGTCAACCTGTAAAGAAATGTGACTTCATCCACACCTCCAACTCCGTCACCAACTTGACATGCCATATGGCAGAGAGAAACCTTTACAACAAATGCACGAAAAGCATGACTGAAAATTAGCTGAAATACCAGAAAGGTAGCAATGGTGGCCCCAAAAAAGAAAGTGAGGCTATTTATTTACATCATCTCACTAAACAGCAACTTTATTAGAAAAATACGAGTTAGATGGCCATATTTGAGCATTCAAATACATTAACTTGCTATAGAATATGACTTTTAATTAACTCTTAGGAGGATGAAACCTGGGCATACCTTGGGGTCCTTGTGATAATCAACAGCTAATAGGTGATAATGAGTAGAAAACATTCCACGACACTGCACCTCTTGCACAAGATATTCAAGTACCGATTCTCTGACAAGTATTGAGAAACATAAATCACAAACTAAGACGGAAATCAGGAAGTAGAACAACGTTTGCAGACACGGAAATCACTGGAGACATATGTGCACCTAATCCTATTGTAGACACTTACGCAATGGCCTGTCCATCGGAAGTTGAGGTCCCACGTCCAAGCTCATCCAAAGCCACCAATGAATTGCGAGTGGCTGATGACTGCATTCACCAATTAGATATGTGGGAAGAAAAAAGAGTGCTTAATAGTTGATATATCATGCATAATGAGCATTCAAAACAGGTTTCAAAAGCTTTCAGACAGACAGGGAACATTTTGGATACACTGATTAAAAAAGACAAGGGAAATATATTCTTGGTAAATGTTAATGACATTGGCTCGTTGATTGTTATGTTTTGGAGATATTTCTGCTACTATCCACTCAATCCATCATGTCCTAAAGAAGAAAACAGCCTTCAAAATATAATTGTCTAGTTTTTGGGGCTGTTGAGAGCCATCAGGTAACTTATTGAGCATCATAAAAAAACAAATTTCAAAATAATAGTAGGAATATCCTATGTCATTATTTTCAATAAACCAATTGAATCCTGATTAGATCCAATAGCATTGCTAATGAAAGGGCATCTCACCAGTACGGTTGCAGTTTCTGAAAGCTCAGTTAAGAATGTACTTTGGCCAGCCATGATATTATCCTTAGCACCCATTCGAACAAAGATTCGGTCTACGGGTGACAAATCAAAACTTTTGGCTGGGACATCAGCTCCTACCTGCAAAAGGAACTAAATGAGTGACTTCGCAAGTTAAAAGAGAAGCCTATTTAAGAAAATCCAATAAGGCCTACTCTCCCACTACAATAACAAGAAGTCTTCTTTTACTACATGGGTCGGCTGGCCTACTCTCCCACTCTAAAAGAAAATTATTGGGCCACCATCATGTATAATCTAGGATTGTACAGGGGCTCAATGGAAAAATGCTTGATTGCTTTGATGCATTAGATTAAGGATCCCCGTGTGGAGTCGTTTTCAAATATGATTTTCTAATTCTGTGACTCCTTTTTAACAAAAGAATTCTGTCGCTCTGGGCTAGGGAACAAACCAACCATATATAAAGGAATCTCCCCTGATAAGACCAAGAAAAACAAAATGAAGCAACATGGATGAACACTTAACCTGGGCCAAAATCACTGCCAAGCAAACTTGGCGAAGAAGTGTCGACTTCCCACCCATGTTAGGGCCAGTTAGAATTAGAAGTAAAGCTTGCCTGTTGTGGACCACCAATTGTTATGTCATTTGGTACAAAGGTGCCCTTGCCCAAATAATCACTCTGAAGGACTGGATGTCCTAAACTTTTAGCAGAGAGGCATGGAGTTTCTTTGTGCATAGCAAGCCTAGGAATCTTGGTTGGCAAGTTGGTCCTTCATAGTACTCACGGGCAATAGCTAAGCTGATCAAAACATCCAGCTCTGCAACATGTGACATCCATTTTAAGCCATGTAAAAGCTTTTGGACATCAATCGGGAAAAACACAATGACATGCATCAAATCAGTAAATGCATTCATTATACGAGGACTGATAAGGGATCATGTGTTCTAGATGCAACTCACCCAAATATAACTTCTTTTCTCATTGGTTAATCTCATTGTCACCTTATAAGTGGGCCAAAGATGCTAACATCTCTACTAGATCTCCTCCCAGGGAAGCTGGGAAGTCACTGATTTGATTGCTTGATGTTACTATTTCTAATTTATACTTCTGATCGCAGTACAATATGCTCACTAAGAATCCAAGGCACCTAGTGTTTTATTGCACTGTCATTGAGAACATAGGCAGTTAGGTAGAACTATGTACCAGCAGTAGCAGACAATAACTGCCTCCACTTTGTATGATGCTCACAAAAACGACAAACTAATCTCTGCAAAATACTTTTCAACGAGGACTCCTTTTCCTGTTCTGCCTGGGAAAGTTCTCCCATCAACCTTTTGATATCTGGATTCCAGTACCTGAAGAAGCCCTGCACGTATGAGATGGAAGAATGAAAGACCAATTACTTCATTTGAAAAAGCAATTTATGCAGACTTTAATTCATTAGCAA